TCCTCCCCCGCTGACGGGCAGCTGCTGCCGGGGCAGAGCCCGTTTGGCCTGGGGAGGGACGCCGCCCTGTCGTCCGAAGCGGCTCCCAGCAGCAGAGCAGGGCCTCCGCCGCTCCAGGGGTTCTCGTGTGAGAATGAGTCCTTCTTATCCTCCCGTGGGAGGGACACGCGTTTAAAACTCTGAAACAAACACTCTACCTAGGTTTGTAGAAAGTTACTTAAGCACTTAGTGGCTGGCCACGTTTTATTCGATGTGAGTCGAAATTTGGTTCTTTTCGCCGCCTCTTGTGCTCTGCACGTGTGACGCTGCCCTCGGCTTTCTTTGGAGACCGTGGCGGATCTAATTGTGCTTGGATTTAATGTGTGTTGTTCAGGATTTCCTAGTTCCGTGCTCGGTACCCCGTGGATAAACAGGGGCTGCTGAATGTTTTTGACCCTCCTAGAATAGCACCGTTGAGGTGTATGACCTTGAGGAAAAAGTGTACATACGTTTAAAAGCAGTTCATTTTTCCTTTGTTTCTGCCAAGTTTCCATCACTAGATATTTTTAAATATTAGGATACCCTTAGTTTGTACACAGACTTCAGAATTAAGAGTTGGGAAGGCATACGGATATGCTGAAAAGTTATTAATAAATCCCTTTGCCTGCGAGGAAGCAGGCCAGAACCAGGAAGCCCCTGACGCGGTAACCAGGATAGCACGCCGACACCATCTGTGTAACCTTGGCAGGGATAAAAAGACCAAACAAGGTCTGGAGAGTGCCCGTTACCAGGTGCATGATCGAAAAGACAGATATATTCTCATACGGTGAACTTGGCCTCGTGCCTTCCGCACCCTGGGGGAGCTGCACGTGCAGGTGCCGCCTGCCAGGCGGAGCACTGTTGGCGTCATCGGGAGGTCGGGGAGTGGGGGGAGGGGCTGGCGGCAGAGGAGCCTGGCCCTGCTGGGCGTCGCTGTCACCGCAGACTGCGTGTGACCTCCCGGAAGCCGCGTGGGATTTCCGCTGTAAAACGACGATAAACGCCCAACGGTGGTCCGTGGCCGCGGTGCGAGGCCAGGCTCTTCGGGGAAGAAATCACGGGAGACCTCAGGAGAGACGTGGTTTCCCGTTCAGCAGTGGACCGTGAAGGAGACGGGCCATCTCGAGACGCTGTTCCTTGAGAATGGAAGGAGGAAGGTGGAAGCCGAGGGTCTTTCCATGCTTTTTAAGGCGTTGTTCGCAATTTTCGTGAAAAGCAGGCAGAAATGGGACCTAGCGAAAAGGCGTCCGGTCTTTCCCCATTAACTACAGTGCTAGCTGTGGGTTTTTGTAGATGTTTTATTTTATTTACTTATTTTAGAGAGAGGCAGGGGTGGGGGAGAGATAAAACCGATGTGTTGTTCCGTTTACCGATGCACTCATTGGTTGCTTCCTGTGTGTGCCCTGGCCAGGGGTCGAACCTGCAGCCTTGGCGTGTAAGGGCCACGCTGACCAGTTTGAGCTGCCTGGCCAGGGCCTTGTAGCTGTTTTTCAGAATTGTGTTTCTTTCTGTTTCTAGTTTGTTGAATATTTTTATCATGAGTTGGGGTTGGATTTTATCAGATGCATTTTCTGTCTCTTGAGATTTTGTGGGTTTTGTCCTTTATTAACATGGGATACTATATTGATTTTCATATTTGAACCAGCTTTTCACACCAACGGGGTGTGGCGCGATAGTTCTTAGAAGTGCTCTAGGGACAGGGACACCCTTCTCGGTCACCTCCCCACGGACTTGAACGTGTATCCTCTTTGCTCCCCACCCTTGGTGGTTTTTGTCCGTTACCAGAATATGAGAGCACTTTGAGTGTTAAAGTTAAACGTAGAATTAACAGTTTAAAGGCACATTGTGATCATGGCCGCAAACGGCCCTGGGCACGTGGCATGTGGTTTTGGGAGCTTTAAACTTGGCTCTCCTGCCTCAGCGGGCTGGAGCCAGCCGACACTGGGCTGCGTCTGAGCCGGGGCCGTCCAGCAGCGTGCTGACGGAGATTCTTTCCTGTTTCGGGGGGCCGAGCGCGTCCGGTCAGGTCGGACGACGGGGTCGGCCTTGCGGTTGCTGAGGGACCCAGTGTCCCTCTATAGCAGCCCGATGGGTCGGTCTCCAGTTCTCTACTTTTGTGACTTGTGACTGTAGGACATTTTTGTAAACAAAAAGTGGAAGGTGATTAACAGATAATAGAAGTTCAAAATAGAACAGTCCTCAGCAATTTTCTGAAACAAAACTCTAAGTGAATAAAAACGCAGGTAAGCACGCAGTAGTCAGCTTTGACTGCAGCATGTAATGCAGCAACATGGTGACCGCAGAAAGCCCAGGACTCGTGCTGTGGCGGTGGGAGCAGGACTCCAGTGGCCAAAAGACGCTTCTTACAAGTTGTAGAGCCTGACATTTAGGAGGCGAGTTCCTGTATTTGTAAGGGTTAGTTGAAGGTTTACCGTGTTTTAGGAATGAAGACAGCAAGGATTTTTACATGTTAATGGGCGTTGTGGCCCTGGGCCCGGCAGGCCGCAGTGCACACGGGCGAGCCCTCCCTGCTGGTGCGGTGGCCACGGTGTGGGCCCCTCACCGGCGGACCCCCCCCGGAGGAAAGCCGTCCTGTGATGGAACCCGAGGCCAGCACCGCTCACGTCAGTGGTCTCCGCTTCGCTCTGGTCCTTCTGACGTTTTTTTCTCTGAAAAGGAACTCGGAAAACATGGTTAATAAAATCAACCCGTTAGATTTCATTTTGTTTTTGTTGGAAATGTTTCCTCCTATAAAATTTAACGACCATGGATTTGATTGCAGAGATCACTTACCATAATCAGACCCGTCCCTGAGAGGCCATTTAAAACAATTCCATTAGCATCCAGATAACTAATCAAAAACCGTGTTGTGGAATATAACAAAAAAGGACTGTTACAGTCTTTTGATATTTTTCCCCTTCACTCCCCAAGAGCAGCCAGCGAACACAGCATGACGTTTTTATTGTCGCGGCGTGTGTACGGCGGGCTGGAGGCTTGAAGGCAGAGCCCCCGTGCTAGGGGGCCCGTTGGTGACCGGTGTCCGCCCGCCCAGGGGCCAAACAGGTCGGGCTTGACCAAACAGTGTTCTCGTGCCCAGTACGTTCGTGGCGAAGTATTGGAGGGTTTTCATCTGAATAAGGACAGTCCGACAATTTTTAAACCGTCAAACAGGACCTCTTAAGTCTCAGTACCTGATGCACATCAAATCCATGATGCGTTCGCACGAGTTTTGTGTATGAGTGGGTTTGTTTATGGGATATTTATTGAGCGCTTCCCGCTCGGCAGGCGGTGCTCTAGGCGCTGGGAATTCGCCCTGTAAAACAGGGGAGCCCCTCGTCCCCCAGAGGGACGGGACCTTGGGTCTCGTGTTGGGGAGCAGTGACAACGTGTGCTTCCGTCCTGTCTGGGAGGGGGGACGGCTCCCTTCGGCTGCATGCCGCGCGCATGCAGGGGGCGTCTCGGGGGTCGGCAGACGACCGCGGGGCAGACGGCCAGCTGGCCCCTGTGCTCGTCCCCCCCACCCCGAGCCCCGTGTCCTCCCTCCCTCTCCCGCTCCCCTGCGGACCCGGCGCCCTCTCCGTGCGCCGCCCCACGCGGCCGAGTGTGTCTGCCCGTGTGCTCCGGCTGTGCTCCCGCGAGACTCGAGACTCCCTCAGGGAGCTCGCATCCGGTGCCTCGGCTCAGCACGGTGCTTTGTGTGTGGTGCTGTTCCGCGCTGACTGCAACTCCTGCCCTTGAGGAGTGTCCCGCGCTGGGTTTTCTAAAGGCGCCTCGCATTTCTTGCAGGCTTGTCTTCTGGGGCTAGAGTCCAGCCCCTCTGTGTGTGTGATCTCCTGCTTTCAGAACGTGTCCAGACTCTGCTGTCGTGAAACCCGTTGGCGGGACCCCTGCGTGCTGTGACGAGGTGCTCTCATGCTCACGAGCCCAGCAGTCCTCAGCGGTTGGGGTGGGGTCGTTCTCTCCAATCAGGCAGAGTAATATGATGATACTGGTGTGGCTGTATCTAATCTTTTTTTTTTTATTATTGAAGAGGGCATTAGGGGCCATTTTTCTTTGCTATAACTCGCCTCCTCCCACCTGCCTTTTTCCAGAAAGTTTTTGCTAGATTGAGTCATTTCCATTGCGATGGCTGCTGTTCTCCCGTGTCATTGGTCACGACCAAGGTCCCCAGGCAGGCGGTCGGTGGACGCTCCGCGTGGTCAGAGGCCGGTGTTCTCTCCTCCGAGTCCACGCCCCCCGCCCCCCCCAAGGATGTCAGCGGCATCGCTTCCCGCTGAGCCAGAAGTCTCCTCGGCGGGCGAGCACCCGCATCGCCGCCGACCTGTGAAAAGCAGCCTGAGCCTCGGGCTCGCGAGCCGAAGGGCCCAGATTCGACTCGTCGGTTGCAGGGTCTGTGCCGCCCGTCGCCCCTGAGCCTCTCACTGGGACTAACGCGTGGGTCCAGCGTCCCGTTCTAGGTTCAGTCTGAAGACTTATAGGTACAGAATTTTAATTTTTAATGAGTTAAACGGAGTAGACCAATCAAGAGTAAGTGTGGTTGTGAAGTAAATTAGTTCAAAACCCTTAAAAAAGCTAATTCTCATTCTAGACTTTTGTTGTTCATGAGTGGCAAGCGTAAAAACTCTGCACACCGGGTACGTGCTAGGAGACCCTGGTGCTGTTCTGAGTGAAAGGGGCGGTAGATGACGGGCAGACGAGGTCACTGTAAGCACGTGGGTCACGTGTGCTCTCAGGGTCTCGTGTGCGCACGGTCACTGGTGTCCCTGCTTCCCGCCCCGGGTTTCCCTCCCACCAGCTTCAGCTCCCCCCGCGCGACTCTCTCCCATCACCTGCTTGTCCGCCGTGCGCACTGCAGTTGCTTTCGATACTGCTGGCAGAGTCAGGACTTACAAATTGCATTTAAGGAAGCCTGGTTGTAAGTAGCAGACCCCCAGCTGACCGGGGGGAGCGTGCGTGCGCTGACCTCTTCGCCACGCCGGCAGGTGTTGGGCCCCGCCCCCAGGTGGTGCTCCTTCCTGGACAACCTGACGGAGGAGCTGGAGGAGAACCCGGAGAGCACGGTGTACGACGACTACAAGTTCGTCACCCGGAAGGACCTGGACAACTTAGGTAAGACACAACGGAGATGAAGCGACGATGAAACGGTTCTCTCTCTCCTTGTCTGGTGGTGGTGGTGGTGGTGAGGGGGCGCTGGGCATTTTAGAGGTGGTGGGGTCCCTTCTATCTGGTTCTGCAGATCTCTGCCCAACAGACACTGAACGTAGTTCATGCTGTCACGTTCATGGTCTGCGCTGAGAGGAGGGTCAGGCGGGCTCCGCCTGCTGGAGCTTCTTTGTGTCTGGACTGAGGAGTGGCACTGCCTGTGTGTAGGAAAAAAATCTGTCAAAGCAGCGATTTATCTTTTCGCGTACCAGCCAAATAAAATCAGGTGGTGAAAAATCCTGACGACTGTGAGTGAAGGGTTTCCGGCTCCCCGGAGGTTCGCTTTTTAAAGGCCCGGCCCAAGACGCGGAGCCCGCAGGCGGACTCTGCGGGTGTGCAGAGCTCGCTGGGCACCTCAGGGTTAAAGACAGCGAACCGAGACAAGACTGCAAACCGAGACGTGCCTCCTGGTAGCATTCGGCGCTCGAGGAGGGCTCCCGTGTGCCGGGAGGACGTGCACACGCGCCCCTCACCGCTCTGAGGAGTGCGCACACCGTCGTGTGCACAAGGAGACTGGGGCACACCGGGGCGGGGGGAGGTGCCGGAGGCCTCGGCGCTGGTAGAAGTGAGGGTGAGAGCTGAACCCCGAGACCACGCTCCCAGCCGCAGGCACCCCAGCCTCTCCGGAGGGCGAACTCATCCCAGCACAGGGGTGCAGGGCAGAGCAGCAGACGCTGCTGATCTCGCTCCAGTGGCGGGAGGAGGCGACGCAGCAAATCACGGCGAGGGGGACGCACGGAGGAGGGTCCACGGTCCACAGGTCTGGGCACCCCGGTTGTCTTTGAACAAACACGTCTGCAGCCGCAGCTGGATGGTGAAAGGAAATAGGGTTGCATGATAGATAGATGTACTAGGTTTAGATATATTTGGATAAAATGTAATTCAGCTCGCTTTTGAAACTGAAAATAGGTATGATATTCAACAAAATTATACTAGAAATCTTGTCATGTACGTTATTAATATAATATTAAGTGAGCCATTGGCTATCATTTTTCAACAGATTTCACCATCACATACAAAACCTTTAAAATAATTTATATTAAAAGTAGAAGTAAGGCCTAGGAACTAACTTCTCTTATTTCATAAGACTATTAACATTAAACATTTACAAGCTCTGACTCCCCCCCCCCATGGCCTTGAGCAGATCCCATCACCTGGTGTTTCCCAAACGCGGTTCCTGGACTGCTGTGTGTGCAGGAAGCACCTGGGTAGAGAGTGCGCGGTGGCCGGTGTCGTGGGCATTGGCGACAGGCGGACACGGGCCCACACCCACCCTCTGCTGTGACTGGGCCCGTGTACTTGACCTCAGTGTGCCTAGTCTCGCCCTCTCTAGAGGGGCGGTAATAATGCCCCACCCCGGGGGGGGGGGGGGTTGCATGGCGGCTGCAGCACATGGGGCCTGAAGAGGACTCCGCGTGGTGTCTGAACGTGGCCAGTGAATGTCAGTGACCGTTTAAGGGATTTCTTTCTCTTTAACTCCCCAGGGCTCACGCATCTCATCGGGTCGCCTTTTCTCCGGGCCTACATGCATGGGTTCTTCATGGACATACGGCTCTACCACAAGGTACCACCGCAGAGAGCACCGTCGTTCCGGGTGGCCGATGGGCAACCCGTGGCCGTTGCTGCTTCACTCACTTGCATTTTCATAAAATACACTTAATGATTTGTGAGAAATCTGTCTGTTCTTTGACATAACAGTGATGGTGCGTCTGAGACTGCTGCTAAATACAGTTCTTTTTCATTTTTGTGTTTTCACTTTGAAAAGGTGAAGCTGATGGTAAACCCGTTTGCTTACGAAGAATACAGGAGGGACAAGATCCGACAGAAGATAGAGGAGACCCGGGCACAGAGAGTCCAGTTAAAGGTGAGTGTTGGGCTCACCGCCGAATTGACGAGAGGAAAGAGCTCAACTTCCATTTTGTTGTCATTCCAAAGGACCCTGCCACCCACTTCTGAGTTTTTCCGTCGTTCACCAGTATTGCTGGTGTATTCTGTTTGTCGTGAGGGTGGATGCCGTGTGTTTTATTGTGGCGGGCTCCCTTGCAGTGGTGTTATGGGAAATCAGTGGCATTGTGGGAAACCGTGGCAGAGGGACCGGTGTCGTCACCCCTGCTGCGCCCATCCGGCGGTGTCTTCCGGCGGGCATTCGGAGTTGGGGGTGTCGGGCCTCTGCTGAGCCCCACTTCTTACTGACGGCAGGCCGAGTCCGAGGCCGGCTGCGTGAGCCACCGGAGAAACTGGCCGTGGACCGTGTCAGGGTCCACACAGCGGCCAGACCGCCCGGTTACATTAACCGGTGACTTGGGTGTGAAGAGCCGTTAACTGGGCATCAGAGAACCGGACAGACAGAAACACTAGGTCTGACGGGAGGGGCACTGGCTGCGGGGCGGGGGGGGCGGTGGCCGGCCTCTCAGGAAGGGGTGCTCAAGGTAGAAGGGGCTGCTTCTGGGACCCTCAGGAAACCGCAGCAGGAACCCCTACTCTCTTGGGCCACCCGCTGCCGCCAGGGAGAGCAGCAGCACGTGTGGTGCCGCCTCTGCAACAGGCAGGCGGGGTGAGTGGTCCGCCTCCCCCCCCCCGCCCCCGCCGTCCCTCTGGCAGCCCCTCGTGATGGAGGTTGCCCCACCAGGTGACGCCGTCGTCCCTCCCTGAGCATTGGCTCCGACACACTCTCTCCCGGTGCAAAAGACTCTTCCTCTGTTAGGTGCTCAAGAGCGAGGAACGAGTGTGCGGTGACGGCGGGGCGCCAGACCGTGGACCGCCCTTGTCCAGCTGTCCGCGCTCACCCTTGAAGACAGAGTGTCCGTGGTTTAACGCAGCTTGTCTCCTCTCCGCAGAAGCTGCCGAAGGTCAACAAAGAGCTGGCGCTGAAACTGATGGAGGAGGAGGAGGAGAAGCGGAACTCCGCGTGGAGAAAGAAAGCCAAGGTAAGAGTGTGCGGGGGCTGTTGGTGGAGCGCCCCCGGTGTGCGCCGCGGCAGCCTGTCGACCCGCGCCAGGGCCTGGCTGGGCGGTTCGCAGGCTCTCTCGCGTAATGAAGGCCTTCAAGACCAGTCGTGATGAACCGGGGGAGGAATCCTTCCCTGTAATTGTGAAGAACACTTGAAAGAATTGTTAAATCCATCAGCAGTTCATTAGTCTTGCCTTTGAACTCCGCTCTTCAAACCCTCCCGAGCGGTAATAGCGCTGGGCCCTCCCGAGCCGAGAGCCAGGGAGGTGCGGCTGCCTTCTGCTTCGGCTCCGGCCGAGATTCCGGGGGGGCAGACAGTGAGGTTCGCTCCCAGATGTCGCTGCCACCGGCAGCATCACTCGAGTCTAATGGGTTGTTTACCGGCAGCTGATGTCGGACCCACGGTGGGGAGCCACCCGCCGCACGGTGTCAGGAAGCGGCATCTGGGCCTTCTCCAAGCTCAGAAGTGTGACGGTGTCCATTCTAGGTAAACGTTAACCCGCCTGTTCTTTCAGCAGGTAGGTGCTGAGCGTTGTGCCCCAGCATCCTGCGAAGGCACGGCACCCACCACCCACTGGTTTTGCGAGGGGTCGAGTTTTGTTAGAACCGATTTTATTACAGGTGTCGTTTTCCGCCGATCGGCGTCTGTCGCCCCAAGTCCAAGTCCGTGCACAGTACGGCTCTCGGATTCCGGCTCCCGGATCCGCAGCAGCGCAGTCAGGCGGGGTCCTGCGTGACCTCTGCAGGCCCAGGGTCTGAGTAGCCCTGGGGCTTACTCCATAGCATTAAGGGTTTGCGTAGCAGTTCGTCTCTCTAGGGGGAGGTATAATCATGCGTGGACACTGGGCTGCATCGGGTCAATTCTAACCAAAGGCGTTGCTCTGGGTTTTTACTGCGGTAGTCCACACGCAGTTTTAGGGACGGGACGTGTCTCCGAGGTTGGTTGGGACGTTGGCCCTCCCTTCCCTCCCCCTCCCCCTCCACCTTCACTTCCCCCGAGATCAACGCTTGCGCCTTTTCAGCTGGTTATTTGGGTGTAAAACTCCGTCTCTTAGTGGTGTCCTCTTGACCGGTACATGCCAGGCGCTGGCCCTGGGCAGCCTTCCCGCCCAGCACCGTCCTGCCGAGGCTCGAGGGCGGTCAGCGGCCAGCGTGTCCAAGGTTGTGACCTTGCCCGAGTCCCACTTCCGGGCGTCACTGCCCGCACAGCCCTCGTCTTCCCTGGACTCGGCGACCGGCTGTTTGTTTTCTCCGTGGTCACCACTGCTTAGCCCTCCTTTTTTGCCCGCTGTCTGAATCACATCTCAGGGTATTTCTGTGGCGCTCAGTTGTTAGAGTAGTTTTGTTCTGCTGAGAAGTCCCTTCTCACCTTCCTGCCCTGCAGGCTGGACCGGGCGTCCGGGAAGCCTGGTCCTGGGCCGTCCTCCTGGGGCTCGCTCCCCGCCCCCGCGTGGTGGCCTCGGGGTTCTGGGACCTCGGGGTCCCGAAGGAACAAACAGCGTTTCCCATCAGCCCTGCGATCAGGCGGGGGTGGGGGGGGGAGTACAGTGAGGAGAGGGTCGGCCCCGCCGGTGCTGAACAACACCACCACGTGGCCCCAGGCACGTGCCTTTTCCCTCAGGGAGTCCCTGAGGATCTTCTCCTCCTCCAGCGTGAGAGCGGAGGCGGGAAGGAGGAGTCCAAGGACGTCCCGGGGCTGGCTCTGCGCCACCGCTCACATCACTGGGCCCTTTCAGTCTAGACACTCAGTTCGTCAGCTGGGAGACGTTCTCGGAAAAAACTAGGTGGTTTCTCTCGGCCGTGACCCATGGCCGTGGTTCATGTGCGCGTGAAAAGTTCCAAGAGCCAAACGGGCGTCCTGGGGGTGGGCCCGGGCTCCTCGTCACCCCCCAGGGACCTGGCCGCCCTGCGGATTTGGGGAAGCTCCAGCAGCAGTTTCTTCTCGGCCTTTGTCTTGGCGGCTCAGATTCTCCTGCTGGGAGAGTGGCAGCCCGCCGCCAGCGTTCTGAGAGGGGAGGCCTGGCGTCTGCTGGGCCGCAGGGGTGTGGGCGGGGCGCACCCCTCCGCCCGAGGCTGCCCTCGCCCCAAGGGTGCCGCCGGCCCGGCCCGATACCTCCCCTCCAGAGGAGAGGCCTCGGTTGGACAGCCCAGGTGCTAGGCCTTCCTTTTTGTCCCAGAATCTCATTGCTCCGGTTCCCTTTGCTGTCCTCTCCATCCTTCAGGGCCTGTGGCTGCTTAAAGCCCCCCTTCTGCTGTTTCACTGGGGTGTCAGCAGAGCCTGGGAGGCGATGCTGTGTGCAGACCAGGCCGTTCGTTACTCAGAAGTCTGCATCGCCGTGCTCTCATAGGTGCCGCGGCACTGGAAGAGCGAATTTGTTTTAGGTGTCAGACCTTCCCCATGCGTGTTTCCATGTTGGCACGGTTAATGAGCTTCCTACTCAGATCTGCAGATACACTGCTTTGAGGTCGGCTGTGGTGTAAACAGTCCTTAGAGGCGTTCTCCAGATTTCAGGGGCCCGTGTTCAGCATATATACGTGAGTATCTGCAGGGCGGATCGCTAGCCAGACATTTGTAAACTCCTGTAGAACATCACTAGCTACACCGTAGCCAACTTAAAAAAAAAAGAGAGACAGCTGTGAAAACAAGCAATTAGACAAGGAAAAATCTCAGGGGGAAATATTTTTGCAGCTGCGTCAGAAGAGTTTTTATTTTATAAGTGTCCGTCCAATGTATACTTGTCTTTAAGCAAAGCAATTTATTTGTTTAAAAGTAAGAAAGATCTTTAGAGTACTAGCAACATATTCTTTTAAACATGTTTCTCTGTTATCTAGTAAATATTATTTAATAAATACAGTAAGATGAAAAGGAAATTTTTTCTTGGGTTCTGTTTATTTTTTTACCTGAAAATATGTAACAGGTTAATAGCTATTCATTTGAAAATATTTAGATCTTTGGCAGCATTGCCTGCCCTGTATTTACGGGTAGCTCCAGAATTTATATAATTGAGCCCCCTCCCCTCGGCCCGAGACCCAGGCCTTGCTCCCGGCCCCTGATGGTGTCCGTCCGAACCCAGGTGGCATTCACCAGTCAGCACCGCAGACTTCACCAGTCTTACGTGGAACACAGTTTCTTTTCTGCTTGTTAATTTTTTTAATTCACTGGATTTTTTTAAAAGATGTAATATTTTAGCCGGAGTTTCAGGTTCACAGAAAAACTGAGGGGAAGGCACAGACCCCCACGTAACCCCGCCCCCAGAGCAGGGGCTCTGCCCACGCCGTTCGGCGTTTTCCTGAGGCCCCTTGCGTGCACCGCGCCTCCTTTCTCTCGTCGCGGGGGGGGGGGGTGCCTGGGTCAGGAGCTAGGCCTCACGTCTCCGTTTCTCCCTCGAACCCGCACCCGGCCTGGAAACGAGGCCTGGTCGCTGTCTGATGCGTCGTCGCTGTGCGTGCGGTCCAGCATAGGGTCTGGGGTGAGGGTGTGCCGGATGTTGAAGTGCACACAGCTAGTGAACAGCCCACGTGCCGAAACACCTGGGGATTGGACAGCCGTGCATGTGTGCGTGTGTGCGTGCGTGTGTGCGTAGCTGCGCTCCACGAGCACCGGGCTCGGGGCTCAGCTGCTCGCGGCCTCGTCATCACTCTCGGGAGTGGGGAACGGCCCCGTCCGTCCGGAGAGCGGAGCCCACCACGCACCGCGCAGCTTTTCCAGCGGGCGTCCACCTTGTCAGCTCTGCCAGCCACGCTCACACCAAGTAGGTCGGTTTATCCGCTTTCCAAGCCTGGGCCAGATCAGGGACGGATAAGGGACCGGACTGTCACCGGTTCGCAGGAACTGGCGAGTGTGCGTGCGCCTCGTAAACCCTCTGTTCAGAGGGGTGCGCGCACAGGGGCGGTCTGAGCGCCCCAGATGGGCTGGACAGCGGAGTCCGACTGCGTCAGAGTGACAGGGCCTGTCAAGCCCTTGAGGAAGTTAAACGGCCTAGGGGACACCGACGAGGCCGTTCCGAGAGGGGACGGAATATTCCTGTGTCCCAATGACGCAACTGGAGCGGGCGAACGCCCACCACCAGCCCCCACCTGGTTCGTTCTTGACTTGGTGTCGTCGACGTGTGCTCCTCTCCCGGTTGTGGAACATGAGATTCAGAGACTCACCAGTCTTAACTCTGTATGTTAACTGTGCTTGAAGCTCTGTGGGTTGGGGGTCGTCCTGCAAACTGAAGGGTCGCTGGTTCGATAACCCACCGGTCAGGGCACGTGCCTGGGCTGTGGGCCAGGGGCCCGGCGGGGGGCTGGGGGCGTGTGGGAGGCGGCTGATAGGTGTTCCTCTCCCTCCCTTCCCCTCTCTCTAAAGACAGATAAAATCTTTTCTAAAAAGCCATGTTTGGAAAACATATTCCCTTGAAAAGTGGTTTTGCATTCAAAATGTTAACAGAAGAAAATTCTCTCTAATGTATTGAGCATGAAGTCAGTCGGCAGTCTTGTCCTTGGCTCCTTGCGTGTGATGGCGAAGTAACGCGTGTCGTCTCCGGAACAGAGGACGGGCGTTTGTGTGGGGGCCGGAGACAGAGCCGGGGGCGGGGGCGCGGTCGGAAGCTTCTGAAAACCAGTCTGAAGGGAACTCACCGTGACCTGCCAAGCTGTGCCGTGTGCAGCTTACCAACCTGTGATTGCGTGAAACACTCGAACGCCGTCCTTCTGGTCAGATTGTACTCAGACACTGACTTGAAGTCTTTACATTCTTCTCCCAGAGCCTTCCCAATATCCTTACCGACGACCGATTTAAAGTTATGTTTGAGAACCCCGACTTCCAAGTAGACGAAGAGAGCGAAGAATTTAGGCTTCTGAATCCACTTGTTTCAAAGATCAGTGAAAAAAGGAAGAAGAAACTGAGACTCTTAGAGCAGCAGGAACAGCGAGACAAGGTGAGGTACTGTCGTGCGGAAGTTGCCGCGTTTCTGTGGTGTAAACCTCTCGGTAAGTCGGCAGAGTCTCTCGGTGCCCTTGGGAGGTGGCTGGTGTGACCTTCAGCCTGGGCCGCGTCTCGTGCACGCTCACGTACTCTGCTGGGCCGAGGATGTTGTGCCGGGCGGGGGGTTGTTTGGGGGTTGTTTGGGGAGAGGAGCGGGCCTCTCACTATTTTTGTCCCCAGGAAGAGGAGGAGGAGCCGGAAGGAAGGCCGAGCGACGCGGAGAGCTCGGGGAGCTCGGACGACGAGAAGGCCTGGGTCGAGGAGGTCAGGAAGCAGCGCCGGCTGCTGCAGCAGGAGGAGCGGGCGAAGCGGCGGCAGCAGCTCCGGGAGGACCAGCAGACCGTCCTCAAGCCCCAGTTTTACGAGATCAAGGCAGGCGAGGAATTCAGAAGCTTCAAAGACTCCGCCACGAAGCAGAAGCTGATGAAGTGAGTAGCACGGCCCTCTCGGCCCGCGCACGGCCGGGGCCTGGCACCTCCTCGCCGCACCTGGCCCCGGGACTTCCGGCCTTCCGGTCTCTGGAGGGAGCGGGCCAAGGGAGCGCCCCGGCTTTGTTGTGGTGCTCCGTAACAACCTCTGCAGCTGCGGCTCGCGTGCAGGGGGCGCGGGGCAGCCTGGGGGTGTTGGCGAGTGCCCACCGACCACCGCTGCCCTGCCGGGGCCGCCCTCCTGCCGTCCGAGTCTGCCCCCGCCGGTCCCCTCGCCCGCCGCGGTCTGTCTGTCTGTCTGTCTGTCTTCCTGTCCGCCCCGCGGATCGGTCATCTTGTGCACAGTGGCCACGGAGCTGACACTCTTTGCCTCTTAACAAGTGATTTTTAAAAATTAGAATGTCCGTTGTCTTTACCCCCATCTCGGTTTACCTGATTGTTGAAAAGGTCACTTGGAAAAAATTGCCAGAAATTTTAAGCCTTTTGTGGGAAAATTGAGAGATCGGAAAGAGTGGTTGGTATTCCGGGACAGTCAGGTGCACAGAGACATAGACAGACGGGGTTCCTGGTCCCGCGGGAACTTCATTTTAAACCTTGGAGGAACCGCCAGACGGCTCTGCAGAGAGGCCGCTCCCCGCTGCATCCGCACCCGCAGCGCACGCCGCTCCCGGTCCCTCGCTCGGGGAGCTCCCGCACCCGGGAGCTTGGCTCTCGCGCCCTGGTTCCGCAGAGGATGCTGCTGGGTCAGGCCGTCCGCTGCTCCCGTCGGGCTCCCTTTGCTGCACTCCCCACACCGCACCAGTGCCCCGGCAGGCGCAGACATGGGGGACCCTGTGGAAGCAGGAGTCTCGGGGCCTGGGCCACACACCTGTTACTAGAAAATAACGACAAGACCGTGTCGGCGTCGGAAGTCCCCGTTTCCCAGAGATGTTAGTGAGAAATCTGTTGCAGACAATTTAGGGAGGAACGGGGCCCAGGGCCCAGCTGGAGGTGACGGGAGCCTGACCCGTGGGCTGGAGAGGGACAGAGGGACAGACACACGGAGACCCTGGTCCGTCCCCCCACAACCCCACGCCTGAGACTCAGGGAGGGAGACGGCGGTCACCCAAGGTCACCCAACGTGGTTTCGGTCCCAGCTGAGCTGGGTGGCGATCGTGAAAGGGGGCGGGGCTGCCGCCCAGGGAGGGACTCGGAGAAGAGCGGGTGACGGCCGAGGTGCTGGCTCTTAGTGGGGCTTCGCGTGGGGGCACCACTTGGGGCCCGCTGGGGTTTTCGTCTGTGTGTGTGTGTGAAGAGTTTCTTTGGAGTGTATATCCTAGTGATGGAGTTTCCTGGACCTAAAGGGTGTGTGATGGGCAAGGCCGGGTGGGCACTTCGTGCTCCTCCTCCTGGACTGAGCCCGTTTCCCCGCACGGGCCACAGCGGTGGGCTCCGGGGACTCGGCAGGCTGGCAGAGCTGTGGGGGCGTTGGTGCCCCGGTGGCGTGAACCCCGGCCCCGGAGACGGGCCTGTGCAGCACATGCAGGCGCCTGCCCGAGTTGTGCCTCGGGGAGAACGGGCACTCGAGGTTTCCACAAGCTGGGGTGTAGCACTGTCCTGTGGGCTCCGTGTCCGCACCCCCGGGCGCTGTTCTGAAGGCCACCCTCCACCGCCCCGTCCGTTTTCCCGCAGAGTGGTTTAAAGCTCTCGGGTGAGCACGGATCACACGGTGTGGTCACAGAAGCGCTGGTGAGTATAGGCTGCACAGCTCCACACAGGCGAGCCACCCAGCCGCCCCGCCCCCAGTCGGCGGGCGGTTTGAGTTCCCCGTGGAGCCCGGGCCCACCCCCCACCCCCCTCCGACCGGCCCCACGGCCATTCGGGCCCCTCCCTCGTGCTCACGCCCCGGCCCCGGGTCGTTCTCCTCCTCGCCTTCCAGCCTCCCGCAGCCGCCTCTCTCTTCTCAGCGGCCTGCACCAGTCTGGGGGCAGTTTCTGTTTGTGACAGTGAGATTTTTCCCCAGAATTCCTTACTCTCGGCTACAAAGCAGCCCAGTGCTGGGGGGGGGGGGGCGGTGGCAGGCCCAGCACACCAGCGCGGGGCCCTCCTCACCAGGCCTGGCAGGGCGGGCCTCAGCGCTCTCTTCCGTCCGGCAGACGGTTCGGGGGCGTCTGTCTCCCCCTCTTTGGTCCTCTCCGGCCGAGTTCACACTCGGTGGCAGGCCTCGCCGCTGCGAACTGACTTTCAGAGGGAGGGACGGCGCTCGCTCTCCGCAGCAGCCGCCCTCCCCACCCCCAGCCTCGTCTGATCTCCTGCCACGGCTCCGTCTCTCACGGCCTGGCCTGTCTCTCCACGCGGCCCAGACGGGCAGGCCCCCACAGGCGCAGCAGCCCTGGGTGCCGAGAGGCAGCCGGGACTCGTCCGCCCCGGCATGGAGGAGGTGGGTCATTCTTGAAAGAGTAGTAATTCCCTACAATTTACTTGAAAAGTCTGTTTCTTCCCAAATTAGTGTTTTCTGATTACCCCTCGTCTCAGTGGCCCTGCAGTTGTTACTCACGGTCCCTGTTAGCTGCAGACCACCAGGCAGCGCTGACGGCCCCCGAAGGCGCAGACAGAGCGCGAGCGGGGCGAGGGACCTGCCCAGGCCGTCGCGGTCCGCAGGCAGGCCAGAGTCCGTCCACCGTGCACCGTGGACGTCTTGTTTAAAAAAAAAAAAAGAGCTAAAGTAAATCTTAATTCCACGGGGCACGTCACGTGGAAGCTTGTCATTTAGAACCCGTGATGGGTTCTGAACGGGACTTTATAAATCAGGTGTGGTCTGACACTTGCCCGGAAACCCCAAGTTCTGAACTTGGAACCCGGCTTTAAACTTGAACCCCGTGTCGCCCGGGGCAAGCCATTCACTGTCCTTCCTCCCCTTTTGCCGTCTATAAAGGATAAACGCTTCTGTCTCAGGGATGTTGACAGGATTAATTAGTGTGTAAAGGACTTTAAAGATGAAAAGTACTTTAAAACTGCTTCTTAATAACATCATTGCCTAGGAGAGAGCGCCACTTCCATGCCAGCCACTTCCTGCCCCAAGTTACGTGAAGAAGGTGCTTCGGACGGCACTGCCCTCGTGCGCGGGGCCGACTCTCACGCCGCGCCCACCAGACGGGGCCTCGGCCGCCTCGTGGGCCGTCCCGGAGCTGAGCGTGGTGGTCACCGCGACGGAGGGGGGGGGGGCGCTCACGCAAAGCACCCTCCTTCACTCGGCCGGGTTTCAGGGCTGACGTGCAAGGGGGACCCTGAGCTCCAAGTCGGGGCGAGGAGGGCAGTCGTGTGGTTTCTTCGTTTTTGAGGAGGGAGCGGAGCAGGGGCAGAACCAGCCGCCTCTGTTTTCTCCCAGCCCCTCTCGGGAGGCGAGGGTGCGGCCTCAGCCTTTTCCGGAGGGTTAGCGCTGCGGTTCAGAAGTACCGAGTGAGGGTGTCTCTCTTCAGGCTCAACTCCTCTCGTTCCCCCCGAACCCAGGGGACAAGAAGGGCCGGTGTTCCGAGCGGGGGGTGCAGTGAGGTGATACATATTACCGGTACCGGCCCAGGTTTGGTGTCCGGACTGTGCGGGACGGGGGGGGTGGGGGGGGCGGGACGCGGGACCACGGCAGAGGACGGGCGCCGCAGGGCTCGGTGCACCAGGGCGGGGACACGGTCTCACAGAGCGACCCCGCGGAAGTTCGGGGGGCAGCAAGGAGACGTGCCGTGAAATTCGGGTTGGGGGCCAAGTGTGTCCGAGTCCCTCAGGGGAGGCGCCGAGAGGCCCCTGGGGGGCAGTGCAGGGATGGGCCGAGCCAGAGGGGCTGGACCCTCACTCGGGTGGTCACTCCTGCTCCCCCTCCGCGTGAGCAGGCGGGGGCACCGTCCAGCTCCTGCTGTCGGTCCTGTGGGTGCGAGCGAGGCCCCGGCTCAGACGGGGGAGGGAGAGCCAGGGCCCTCCCAGCGGTCCTCTCCGCTTCACCCGGGACCTCGCCGTGGCCGCCCGTCCTGCAGGGTGACGGAGCTGCTGAAACACTGCAGGCGTGAAGTGCCGCAGCGGCGGGGGGGGCCGCCGACACCGCCCCAAATCGCAGGCTCGGAGACTCGAGTGAGCGGGGTGAGCAGCGGCCGTGGGGGGGCCTGGGCCACCGTCGTCGGTGCCGCGTGTCCTCGGGCCGTGAGCGGGGACCGCGCCTGTTCTCCGCGCCGTGCGCAGTGCGAGCCGTGTCTGTCTGCACCCCGCGTGTAAGGGTTTTTCTCCGAGGGACCGGTCCTGATTAGAGCCTGCTCCGGCCGTAAATCAGAGCCTGCTGCTAATGAGCGTGTCGTTCCCTTGCAGTAAAGCCCTGGAGGATCGGCTGAAACTCGAAGCAGAAAAGGGGGCGCTGAGCGTGGCGGACACCACGGTGGGCAGCAAGCAGCTGACGTTCACGCTGAAGAGGGTGAGCCTGCGCTCGTGCGTCCCCGCTCCCTGGCCCCTGGCGCGGCCCCCGCGGCCCCGAGCCTCCTGTGTCTGACTCTGAGCCCAGGGCCGCCTCCCCCCGCCCATCCCTCCCCGCCCTCCGCCCCAGCTCTCCCCGTGGGGGGAGCAGCGTCCTGCGGAGCCTCACCCCGCAGCCGGAGCCCCAGGGCTGGGGGGCGAGGGGCCTGTGTCCCGGTGTCCACAGTGACCGGAGAGTCGGCGCTGTTGGTTCCTGGGTCTCAGGGCCGCCTGAGGGGCCTGGCGCCTGGCGCGGCAGAAGCCCCGCCCACGGAGGCCGGGAGAGGGCACGGGAAGGGGAGGTGGGCTGTGCAGGCCGGGCCTCCGTGCGTTCCTGACGGACGTCCCGCTGCCCCCGGAGCCGGGTTTCGGGGCGAGCTACTCGTCAGTGCGGGCAGGGCTGCTCTAGACCCGCCCCCGAGGACAATTTCTTCAGCTTCCACAAGGCCCAGTGCACACTGCAGGAGGGGCGGGGCGGGCTGCCTGCGTGTCTGCTGGCCACTCAGGAGCAGAACCCTGCGGTCTTATTCTCCAAAAAAAGTTTTTCACTCAGTAGATCTCCTTTGATATATATTGTTACCAATTGGGGGAAAATGACAAAGATTTTACCCCTGACTTTTTTTAAAATCGAGATGCAATTCACCCTTTTGAAGTGCAAGTCAAGGTTCTTAGTGTAGTCACCGAGTTACGTGGTCGTTGCCGTTACCTGATTCGAGACCATCCTGGTCGCCCCAGAAGCAAACCCCGAGGCCGCCAGCAGCCACCCCAGGCCCCGTGTTCCCAGCCCCAGGCAGCCAGCCGCCTCCCTCTGTCCCGGTGGGTTGGCCTGTTGGGACAGTGGCCACAGGCGGTACCACACGGTGTTTTCCGTCGTGACCGGGTCCTTCACTCAGCGTGTTCCCACAGCGCGGGCTGTAGCTCCGTTCCTTCCCGCAGCCAGCCCTTCGCTGTGTGGGCAGCACCGCCTCTGGCTCGCTCCCCGTCCGCCTGTCGGTGGGCATTTGGGCTCTCGGTGTTTCATGGTGGCAGCTCCTGGGCTTGGGGGAGCAGTTTCGTTTTTTTAAAACAGCCAGCAGTTCCTCGGAACCAGTTCTGGTGAATGAGTGCTTTAATCACGGGGGTGGGGGGGGTTTATAATACACTTCTGGTGCACGTGAGGTGGTCCTTTGTTTTGTTTTTAAGACAATGTGAAGGAACCGGTGGTTCTGGCTCATAAACAAAAAACTGTTCTAGAAGCAGTCGATGCCATTTTGTGAGCAGCAGTGTCTTCTGAGGTTGACCATAGTCCTTGTCAAGTGTCCCAGCAGTGCTGTGCGTTGGCTGGGAAGCCACTGGCATGCTTTGTGGTTCGGACCGCTCTGTCGGGAGCTTGTCTTGCCCGGGGGTTGGCACTCCTCGTGCGGCCGTGGCGGTGGGCCCTCGCCCTGCGGCTCCTGCCAGGGCGGCGTCCAGGCGCCAGGCCGTGTACCCTGGGGCCTGCGGGCCACGCCTGCCCAGCGGCGGGGCTGGGGCTGGCGGTCGCTGTTGGCACTCTGACGGTCACCAGAGGGCTGCTGGAATTCTCTCCCTCTCCCTCTCCCTCCATGTTCTCTTCCAGTCCGAACAGCAGAAGCAGCAGCAGGAGGCCGAGAAACGGCACCGCCAGGAGAGGAGAGCCCTGCGTCGCTCAGCTGGCCACCTCAAGTCCAGGCGCACGAGAGGGCGGCCCTTCCACTGAGTCCGGAGCGGGCTGGCTGCGCGGCTGCGGAGGTGGGTCGGCACCAGCGCGCGCCGGTCACAGCATCCTGTCCGTCCCTGGCACGCGTCCCGAGGCTGAGATTTGCAGCTGCCCCGCACCTTCTGCAGAGCTTCGCCCCAGGGCGCAGGAGCTGCTGCTCCCCACGAACGTCGTCCGCACACCCCCCTCCCGCCCAGTCCGAACCCAGTAGACCAGGCGGCCGTCCCCCCACGCTGCGCAGTGTGCACCGCCTGCGTCCGGGTGGCCCCCTGGGCTGGAGACGGGCAGCGGCAGGGGACGCTCTCTCACGGATCCGGGGCTTTCTCTGCCGGTGCCGCTGCCACCCCCGGCGACCGCCACCCCAGCTCAGCCGCCCTTGGCCGTGGTCACCTGTGTCTGCGTGTGCTTGTGGGGTAGCTGCTGGTCTGCGTGTCCGTTTGGGATTTTTTTAAAAATATGTTTATACCAAGAATGTAAATTAATGGCAAGAACAATGTAAAGCATGAAATAGAAGTTATTACTGGGAGTAACTGAAGTTATTTTTTATACTTGTCCAAGCTTAAATAGAGATTTTTTTCACGTTTCTGAAATGCGTACAGATAGACAAGCTGGAGACAACATTTGTAGAAATAAATTCTTTTATTCGAACAACTTCTTTGAGAAAGACCCATTCCTTGAGTTAATTTGAGAATTAACTATGGTTTCCTGAGTTTCTGGAGCTTCCGTGTGCTGCTGGGGGAGTTTCTTCCTGTGCAGCTGGAACAGCGGCTCTGGGCACTACATTCTAGCTGGGAACGCCGGGGGCGGGAGGGCGCAGGCGGTGACCGGCGCGGCTAGGCTGGGGAGCCTGCGGCCGCCTCAGGACCTACAACTCCTGGTTGCACGGGATGACGCTCCAACCACCCGAGCCGCCCGGCCTGGGCTTGACGACATGCTCGGAGGCGCCATTCAGGGCGAGTTTTCTTACGCCCTCAGTTTGAGTTACTCAAGTGCCCAAGGCTGCTGTGTGGCTCTCCGTCCCTTGCAAACAGCCCCCATCATTTATTCCCCTGCTGCCGTGACAAGACGGGTGGCTCTGGGGTGGGAGCGGGTGGCCTGGCCCCCGGCCCGAGCAGGGGAGCCCCTGACTGGCCGTGGGGGGAAGAGAGGAGCTGGTCGTGGCTGCAGGCTGGCCGGCCGTGGCAGAGCGGGGTGGGCAGCAGAGGTAACGAGGGGCTCCGGCTGACCAGCGGGGGCTGCTTGAGAATCTCACTGTCTCACAAACGCCCCGCGGCCCCACCCTGGAGGAAGAGCCGAACCTGCACAGCTGCAGGGCACAGCTGCAGGGCACAGCATGGCCGGCCGGCCACTCTCCCCTGCGCCCACTGTCCTCCCCACACCCACCTGGCTGTTTCCGGAACACTCCGGCGTTCCCTCAGGCCTTGGCTCCCTTTGGCCTGCCCTCCCTCACGGCCACGACCACCCCCTTGAAAACGGTCACTCCCCTGGTTTCAGCACGCCCGGGGCCTTTCCTGCAGCGGATGCCCAGCAGACAGCGTGTACTCAGGGAGACGTTTTATTGCGGAAAGTCTCAAACATACACCCGAGTGGAGAACAGTTTAATGAGCTCCCATGTACTCATCAGCAGCTCCAATAATTAACAACAAAAGCTCATTTTGTTTCATCTTGACTCCTCCCCATTGGCCCTATTATTTGGAAACATTTTGATCCCAGACGTATCATTTTATCCATAAATATCTGCAGCGCCCTGCCACCCCCACCCGCACCGGGACGGAAGCCCGCAAGGAAGGGGTCGGGCTCTTCGGTCTGTCGTCCGCTGCTGTGTTTCCAGCGTCCGGCACGATGGCCAGCGGGCGGCAGCTGCTCTGTGAGTGTTCATTCAACAGCACGGCGAGGACTGAAGGAGGGACTTCGGGGTCGGTGCCAGCTGGGCGGGTCCCGCTGAACCAGAGTGGTCTCGGGCGGGGGGCCGGAAGGCCCGGTCAGAGCTGGGGTGAGGACGGGGAAAGGGGGTCAGAAGGAGCGGCTGCAGACACTGAGAAGGAGTGTGGACGCAGAGGAGCAGAAAACAGCACACGAGAGGCCGAGAGAGGGTTTTGTCCGAAGTGGGAGAAGCCCCCACTGGGCTGCACGCTGCTGGGAGTGACCCCCAGGAGGTGAGAAAGGGAGGACACGGTCACTGGCGCGACTCTGCACTCCCTAAGTGGGTGTGGCAGTCGCCCGCTGCCAGGTAGCACGTCACCCCAAACTCAGTGGCTTAAAACGACGGTTCTCCAGCCCTTCCCGTGGGTCAGCGTTTCTGGAGCCGCTTCGCTGGGCGGCTCTGACTCGGGGTCTCACCCGAGGGTCCGGCCGAGACGGCAGCCGAAGCTGCAGTCCCCGGAAGGCTTGACCGCCTTCCAGGCTCGGGGCCTTCCAAGACCTGGGGCCTTGCCGCAGGCCTCTCCAGGGGCGGCTGAGTGTCCTCGAGACATGGGAGCCACCTTCCCCCCAGCAAGGGACCCAGGAGAGCGAGAGGCCAGGGTGGGAGCCACAGTGCTGTCGGCACCTGGCGCCAGAGGCTGTGCATCGTCCTGGTCCCCTACCCTCCGCTTTGTTAGCGGTGACACAGTCCAGCCCCCACACACTGGTGGAGGGCTTAGATGCCATCTTTCCAGCGGAGGGCGTGTCCAGTGGGGCCGTTGGGCCGCCCACCGGACACCCGGAGAAACCCGGGTCTCTGATGGGCAGGTGGCTGATCGGGGCAGTGCGGCATTGTACTGCAGGTTCCGTGAGAGTGTTTTTTGACCGAATGTGTAAGATGAGTATCTATCTTCCTTTTGTTTCAAAGCGCTCTCTTCAGCACACGTAAGATGCCAAATAGATTTTATAGGAGCACAGTTTTAGCGGCTTCATAAGAAAGGTTAAGACTCCTGGCCAAGATGGAGGCAAAGGTAGACACACTGTGCCTCCTCGCACAACCCAGATAGGGACAACAACAATTTAGAAACAGAACAACCAGAACTGACAGAAAATTGACCTGAATGGAAGTTGGACACCCAAGAAGTTAAAATAGACATGTTCATGCAGACCGGTAGGAGGGGTGGAGTCGGGCAGCCAGGTGCGGGTTGCGGTGCAGGGAGAGCAGAGAGCGTTGGGACTGGGCACGTAAGGCAACCGGGGCGCGCAAGACCGCAGCGGGTGGACCCTGAGCGTGCAAGCGGCACTGGCAGACCCCGCCCGAGGGGTGGCAAACGGCAGACCCAGTGAGGCGAAAATTGTAAAGCAAGGCACTGTACGCCCTCTGTACCCAGGATCCTGTACCCAGGATCCCAGTGCTGGGAAATAGAGCTTTGGGGCACTGATTGAAAACACCTGTGGGGGTTGGGGCACAGGGAGAGACTCCCAGCCTCACAGGAGAGGTGCCTGGAGGGTCCCATGGGGTGCACAAGCCCACCCACACGGGAATCGGCACCGCAGCTCCCACCCACCGTTTGCTGGGGGAAGCGGCTGAAGGATCTGAAGTCCAACAAAGAGTGGAGCACGCACCACTGTTCCCTCTCAGACCCCGCCCCCACATAAACGTCACAACCCAGTGACTGGGGTGCCCCGCCCTGGTGAACACCTAAGGCTCCGCCCCTCATATGTAACAGGCACGACCAGACCAAAGTTGGGGGCGGGGGGAGATGGCTCAAACAATTGAAAGCCCCACAGGCATTACTTTCAAGCGACCGAGAGATAGCCAACCTATCAGACGCACAGTTCAAAGCACTGGTGATCAGGATGCTCACAGAGTTGGTTGATTTTGGTCGCAAATTAGATGAACAAATGCAGATTATGATAAGAGAAATGAAGGAAAATGCATGGAGAACCAATAGTGATGGGAAGGAAACTGGGACTCAAAATAATACAGTGGATCAGAAGGAAGAAAGAAACAACCACACAGAAAAAAGTGGAGAAATAAGAATTAAAAAAAAAAAACAAGGAGAAGCTTAGGAACCTCCAGGACATCTTTGAACGTTCCAACATCCAAATTATAGGGGTCCCAGAAGGAGAAGGGGAAGAGCAACAAGTGGAAAACTTATTTGAACAAATAATGAAAGAGAACTCCCCCATTCTGGCAAAGGAAATCGACTTCCAGGAAGTCCAGGAAGCTCAGAGAGTCCCAAAGAAGTTGGACCCAAGAAGAAACACACCAAAGCACATCATAATTCCCTTAGCCAAGGTAAAAATGAAGGAGAGAATCCTAGAAGCAGCAAGAGACAAGGAGACAGTCACCTACAAAGGAGTTCCCATCAGACTGTCAGCTGATTTCTCAAATCTTGCCCTTATAGGCAAGAAGGGGCTGGAAAGAAGTATTCCAAGTCATGAAAGCCAAGGACCTACAGCCAACATTGCTCTATCCAGCAAAGCTCTCATTGAGAATGGAAGGGCAGATACAGTGCTTCTCAGATAAGGTCAAGTTAAAGGAGTTCATCATCACCAAGCCCTTATTTTATGAAATGCTAAAGGGACTTATCTAAGAAAAAGAAGATATAAAAAACATGTATAGTAAAATGACAGCAAACTCATAATTATTAACAACCACACCTAAAACAAAAACAAAAAGAAACTAAGCAAACAACTAGAACAGGAACAGAACCACAGAAATGGAGATCACATGGAGGGTTAGCAACAGGGGGTGGGAGGAGGAGAGAAGGGGAAAAGGTACAGAGAATAAGTAGCATAGATGGTAGGTAGAAAACAGACAGGGGGAGGGCAGGAATAGTGTGGGAAATGGAGAAGCTAAAGAACTTATGACACATGGACATGAACTGAAGGGGAGAATGTGGGTGGGAGAGGGTGTGCAGGGTGGAGGGGAATGAAGGGGGGGTAATGGGACAACCGTAATAGCATAATCAATAAAATCTATTTTTAAAAAAGTAAAGTTAAAAGGTTTTTGTGGTTCTTAGGGAAACTTGCAGTGCACTAAAAATCTGAGTTTATTTGATTGGTTTCCGGTTTGGGACAACTTTCAGACCTCCCCTCACCTGGGCGGCCGTGAAGGCGGAAGAAAACCCCAGCGCCGCCGCCGCCGCCGCCAGTGTCTTGAAGCAAACAGACGGCGGCCGTGACGCGACCGCACTTCACACTTCGTTACGTGCCCGTCTTCGTGCTCCGTGACCCATGGGGGACGTGTCTCTCTCCTGCACCCTAGAACACTCACAGTAGCGTTATCCTAGTGCAAGGAGAGTCCCAAGTAGATGCATGTGTTAGAGTGACTGGATTCTGCTCAGAACTTGGAAGGGGGACAGCAAAGTGTTAGAAAGCGTGTCTGCACAAATAAATACTGTAAGTGGGTACTGGGTGGTTCCCCCACCCCCGAAAAGTTTGTATATCCAAGTTGGCATAAATCGCTATTTTTCTCCTTGGGAAAATATGGAATTGTGTTATTTTAGGGGTTTCCTTCTAAATATATGAGCACACATATAGTATCTTGATTTAAGATGTTATTAATCTTCTTGAATATGCAGGGAAATTTCCAGTCCTCATCATTTTTAGTCTTGGAATTCATTTTTTATCCACTCACAAGTTTTCCAGCATTCCCGAGGGCCACGAGGAACGTCTAAGTGCCATCGTCAAATGAGCTGTTCTGGGAACTGGGGGGCGGGCTGCCCGCGCCTCAGACG